ACTATCTACTCCCTACTACAATGAGGGGCCCTACATAAAAAAGTCTGCCATATTTGAGCATTTCACATGCTACTGCCTCACCCCTGAGACTATGAATCTTACTGAAAGGAGACTATACTTAATAGAAGATGGGAAAATTTTTTATAAAAGGACACATTTGTACACAAAAAAGTCAAATTCCATTCAGGGTTCCCACCGTAGGTAAATTATTTTTTTTGCGGACCGTTAATATATATTGGTAAAGGTAAGGACCTTTGCCAGTTTTGAATAATAATGAGCTTTGTGAAAAGAAATACATCCTATAGACAATGGATGCTTGTAATGTTACGAATTTTGACTTGAAAGAAGAAATGATGACGAACAATTCCTAAATTCATGAACGGATGGAAGAGTACAAGCCAAAATCATTCTTTCTTAGGGAGGGAACACATTGAAAAAATTCTTCCAATATAATTTGTGTTCTGCACATCAGACATCTCAACTCATCTTAAGGAAAGGGGGATAACCGATCTTCAATGAGTCTATTTACTTAAGATTTTTTTTAACGAGGATGAATGACGTTCTATCTTTGAAACCTGATACTATTTTGAATCTCAGTATTTATTTAATAGTGGGGCCGATAAGTGGAAAATATCATAACAATCGTGCACTTCTGGAAGAAAGCATGAAAACTTCAGGGATTCATCTCTACCCTATAGACATTCGATTGAGACATAGACCCCAAAAATCTGAGCCCCCTGGAGGGGCAGGGGGGCCCCCAAATTTTGAATTTTGAATAACTACGGAACGGCTAATGTTAGCGTATTTTTTTTACAACAGAACGATGGGAAATTTTATTAGGAACAAAACTGGTTCTTGTGAATTTTTCCGTGGGATCGATATTTTAGGCGTGAAAACGGGAAAAACCATCGGGGGACGGGGCGCCGGCCGTTCTGAGGCAGATCCGCGCGCTGCGCTGCCTGCCCGGGACGCGCGCGGCGGCGCGGTACGGTGTTACCGACGAAACAACCGCTTGTCTTCGTTTAATCTCAACGATGCGCAGTTTTAAAAATATTATAAATTTACCGTACTGCCTAAATACTTCCCCGTAGTAATATAAGCCTTACTTTATATTATATTAGTAATAAATAAAAGCAAGCAAAAGGCGAAAGACTCCAATGTGAGAGCGCCGAGTCAATAGGAGGGATCGGTCATCGCGCATCACGTGCCTTGTTTTCCATGAATACAGAGCCTTTCCGACCTCAGTACAGAGTAAATTACCCTTTCCTTACGGAATTTTTGTAAAGGATTATATTTTTTAAGATATTAGAGCGAAATAAGATTTAAGTGGATAAAGATTTTAATAGATTTTGACCCACTTTTTCAAGACTACTGGAAATGGGATCCTTGATAACTTATTTTTAGCTTATTTTTCATGTTACTTTCGGCGAATGGGACCATGAGCTGCTTACATAAGCAAGAATTCTGCAATACTTGACGCAAAGATATTACTTGAGGAGTGAGGAGGGGGGAGAGGGGGCTTCACAGTCCCTTGCCACTAAGGTGCCCAGATTTCCTTCCTTTTCCTCTAATATCGTTTTTCGTTCATGTTAATTGGTTTCTCGCAATTGCATAGGTACTGATACATACGGAACATTCCGACAGTGTTCTTTTCTCCTCTTTTTTACTCCAGCCAGTCAACAGACGTATTCATTTTCATGAACTTTCCACTCTTTCAGATATTCAACAAATATGCATATTTCACAAAATAGAACGATATATCAAATGAATAATAAAAAAGAAGATATCTGAATACTATCGCTTCCTTTTATCGAGTCACACTTGAAGATTATTATTGGTATACTAACCACAAGACATAAAAAATGGAATTCAGCAGTAATAAAAATCCATGTACAGGGTGTTTCAGACCACCCTTACCAGGCCTTTTTCTCGGTTGGTATAGGTCGTACGAAGTCGGAGACCGCGGGGTTGAATAGGGAATTGACCCCAAGGAATCCGAATTTCGTGGTCTCGAAACCCCCCCACCCCCCCTTGGGGGGTAAAGGGGGGTCACGATGCTGAAAGTCACGGTTCCCGACCGAATTGCGGATCGATCGCATCAGAATTGAAAAGTACGGAAAATTTCTCGTGGAATCGACCCCTAAAAATCCAAAATCGGACCATCCAAGGCCCAAAAATGACCCCCTAAAGAGGGGGACAGTACCCCCCTCCATAATTTCTCTTTGGTCTCAAAATTGACGTAAATTCTCCAGAAAAAGACAGTTTCCCATGTAATCGACCTCGAGAAATCCAAATTTCATGGTCCCGAAGCTCCTCTAGCCCCCCTTGGGGGATAAACGGGGGGGGCCCAATTTTAAAAATCGGGGCTCCTTTCTGAATCGCAAATTGATTGCATCCAAATTGAGGAGCAGAACACATTTACATCTTAAGTGACTCCTAAGAGTTCTAATTGACCCCCCTGAACGGCAGAAAGTAACCCCCTGAGGAAGGGGGCCTCGCCCCCGCCAAAAATTTCTCAGGATTCCTCTTTGGTCACAAAATTGACGTCGATTCTCCAGAAAAAGACGGTTTCCCATGTAATCGACCCCGAGGACTCTAAATTTCATGTTCCCTGAGCTCCTCGAGGTCGATTACATGGGAAACCGTCTTTTTCTGGAGAATCGACGTCAATTTTGCGACCAAAGAGGAATCCTGAGAAATTTTTGGCGGGGGCGAGGCCCCCTTCCTCAGGGGGTTACTTTCTGCCGTTCAGGGGGGTCAATTAGAACTCTTAGGAGTCACTTAAGATGTAAATGTGTTCTGCTCCTCAATTTGGATGCAATCAATTTGCGATTCAGAAAGGAGCCCCGATTTTTAAAATTGGGCCCCCCCGTTTATCCCTCAAGGGGGGCTAGAGGAGCTTCGGGACCATGAAATTTGGATTTCTCGAGGTCGATTACATGGGAAACTGTCTTTTTCTGGAGAATTTACGTCAATTTTGAGACCAAAGAGAAATTATGGAGGGGGGTACTGTCCCCCTCTTTAGGGGGCCATTTTTGGGCCTTGGATGGTCCGATTTTGGATTTTTAGGGGTCGATTCCACGTGAAATTTTCCGTACTTTTCAATTCTGATGCGATCGATCCGCAATTCGGTCGGGAACCTTGACTTTCAGCATCGTGACCCCCCTTTACCCCCCAAGGGGGGGTGGGGGGGTTTCGGGACCACGAAATTCGGATTCCTTGGGGTCAATTCCCTATTCAACCCCGCGGTCTCCGACTTCGTACGACCTATACCAACCGAGAAAAAGGCCTGGTACGGGTGGTCTGAAACACCCTGTATATTATCTTTCATTTTGTTCTATGGAGTTTGGAGTTTGGAGTGGAGTTGGTAACATTTGTATTGAAAAAATATTAATATAGGAGGAAATTTATTTATCATATGCAGGTTCTGATCCTTTAAAGAACCCCTGAGAGGGACAAGTACCTCAGGAAGAAATTCATTGCATTTCTTCTTTTTTAACCCGCAAATCTTGTACCAATTTTTTATTTGTATACAGCTCATGGAAGAATTCTAGGTATGTCTGAGACAATTTTCAAGAAACGGGACTTGCGAAATATGTATTGCACAAAACGCACACCTTAAACTTTATCGCACAGTATAACACTGATCAAATTAGCTTCTGAGATTATCAGAGGGTCAATTTCTTGTCAAAATATCAACAAATCAGTCAAAATCAGTGATCGGTAATCAGTTGCAAAATTACCGAGATTGAGGGAAATCTTGTGATGCGAGATTTTATTGATGACATAAGAGCAGGATATGTTCCCAGTAGGCGCGACTTCATATCACTCAAACGGACCGTTTTTGCAGATTAGCGGATATTGGCGGCTAATTATTACTTAATAATATTCCTTATACTTATACAAGAAGCAGTCCAACAATGGTTTTTGGGGGGTCTTTTATCCCTATCAAGCTTTCTCAAGATTCTTTTGGCGTTTCTTAGAGCAAGTTTTGAATGTGGTTTTGGTCCTCTTAAAAAAATGCCTATACGTAGCAATGATGTACCAAAATGTTCCTTCAAGAGAAGAGAATAAGCATGCTTGTTTTTTACTCATTTTTTTTTACAAATTTAGGTTCCCTGTCTTGAAAGTCTGGCTAGAAGCCGTCTCCCGGGAACTTTAGGGTTGGTAAGCATATTTAGATACCATCCTGGTACAAACACTTCAAAATCATTTTTCAGGTCATCGTGGTATACAAATAAGATGTGTGACTTTTAGCCCCCCCCCTTCCCGAGACAACTGTACGTCAGATTTTATTCCGTTCAACTGATGACTGATACAGTTATCTTGGATGCTTTAATACTTGAACTTGACAAATCCATCCATACAACAAAGCAATCCAGAACTCCAGCACCTAACCCCTTCTCCTTCCGTTGCCGTCCGCTCGCTTGTATACATACATATTATATTACCTGCAAAAGTTAAGCCTTTTATAAGGCTTCATAGGTAGTAAGATATATTCATAATATTTTTAAAACTGCGCATCGTTGAGATTAAACAAAGACAAGCGGTTGTTTCGTCGGTAACACCGTACCGCGCCGCCGCGCGCGTCCCGGGCAGGCAGCGCAGCGCGCGGATCTGCCTCAGAACGGCCGGCTCCCCATCCCCCGATGGTGTTTCCCGTTTTCACACCTAAAATATCGATCCCACAGAAAAATTCATAAGAACCAGTTTTGTTCCTAATAAAATTTCCCATCGTTCTGTTGTAAAAAAATTACGCTAACATTAGCCGTTCCGTAGTTATTCAAAATTCAAAATTTGGGGGCCCCCCTGCCCCCCCAGGGGGCTCAGATTTTTGGGGTCTATGTCTCAATCGAATGTCTATAGGGTAGAGATGAATCCCTGAAGTTTTCATGCTTTCTTCCAAAAGTGCACGATTGTTACGCTTATCGGCCCCACTACAAAAAATATCCTTGTTTTTCCCTGATTTTTATAATCGGAAAAATGTACTGTTTACATACTGTTTCTTGTTGCTCAACAATCATGTCCACAATTTCATCTTGCAATTTTTGTTCATCCACTTTTGATAAATCCACATTAGCTTGATTCAGCAAAAGTTGCGTGTGTTCTATGTCAACACATGTTTTATCTTCCAGATAAAGACACCTAACAACATTAGAAATATCAGGATTTGATTCCACTCGCACAGGTGTTGTCAGAACATCTGTAACAAAGTCAAATGCTATATTAATTCATTGAACACGAAACCCTGAACAATAAACACTAAATTTTTAGAGCTATTTTCCCTTCTCTGTTGGCAGACACAGCAAAACTGTTGTCCAAGCCCTTCCATTATCCACTTGATTTCTTCTCAAAAAGCTTGAATCTCTCTGCATCCACGCCTGTTTGCCTCTCAAGGAGCACAACTCTCCTACTGATGTGTTAAGCAATTAATTTGCTCGCTGCTTCAGCATTAATTTAATAACTGATGATAGGAGAAGCAACCCAAAAACAGAGAAAGCATGGATGCTCATGGAAAAAAATAACAATTGATGGCGACACCAAAGTGGAGACCACTCGGTCTTTTTTAAATTTACAGATCAGAGATGGAACTTTTCCCATGTCTGGATCTATTCTTTCAAGTGAAGCTGTATTTTATTTGGTAAAATAGGAATTGCTGATTATTTCGTAAATGTTATTGCAGTGTTTAATTCCCTATTCATCCCACAGGCCTCGGCTTCTTTTGACCAGAGATAACCAGGAAAGCAGTTTGGTGCAGGTCATCTGGGACACCATGCATACTTGATTGTGAGAGGATTTTGTGAATTCGAACATTTACCTTTCATAAATGAAGGGAACGGATCACGTGACTTGTTGACACTCTGAGGTTTGATGATTTCTTTTTGCCATGAGAGCAATTTCCGGCGATTAAAATTAGGTAACGAATGAGACGAAACAATCACTACTTCTTTAGGTATTTGATCATTAACCTTTTTCACTAATTTATTGATGCTGCTATCAATGTAAAAAAATCGGGCTACAGGAGCTGAATATCTCAGTTTTTGGATGGGGAGAGCTACAAAGCCTGATCACCTTAATGTCCTTTCAGACTGGCAAAGCCTTGGCCAGTTCCCTGTTGGAACTATCGCATATGCATCAACTAAGTGACAAATTAAGCAGCAGTGAAAAAAGGTCTTGCTCTGGAGAACAGGTTGCACCTCTCAAAATTAATTTCTGCAGAGCAGCTTGATATCTTTAAAATGTTGACTATTTTTTACCTGATTTGGGAGGAGTTGGACGAACGGGTGATTTACTTAGCCTGGGTGAAGAGCTTAATTGAGTTGGTGGGTCTGGTATCTGCTGACCCATAGAGGAGGAGGGTGAACTCAGCTTCTGATGTACATCTGTAAAAATAGATACACATAGACTAAAATTCAGTAAATTTTGTCAAAAGGGATTGACAGCTTAGACTTGAGCCAGCCTAATATCTACAAAATCCTCATTTCCCATCAGGTTTTATGGTTTTGACGGAGAATCAAGCAAAATAATGGCATACAATTTGAGATTAAAAAGTGGATTACCTCTGAATTTAAAAAAATATATTAATGAAATTTCAAGGTAAATTAGTGCATAGCTTTCTGTTTAATACAAAAACTTGAAGATATTAAGCAGCGTATAATGCAGTAAGACTGATTTCGGGTAGAGTTGTACATTTGGGTGCATTTCAACTAAAGAAAGCTACCCATATGAGAATCCATAGGAAAATCAGTCCTTAAGTGTATGATATCTAATTTGGGCTTGCATAAGCAACCCTTTACAGCCAACTTTAGACAACTAACTGCTCCACGCATGTTATGCCACTGTTCCAACTGTTTCAACTGCATATTAAAATCATAGGAAAAATTAACAGGTGAAAAGATCACAATTTTAATTTGGATTGCATTTAGGGGGGGAGAAAGGAGACAGATAAGCACTGTGTTTTTGAGAATGAACAAAGGAGATTCAACATATTTTTCTCATTGTGATATTTGAAACCATTTTGTGCACGAGAACTGTCATTTACACTTACTTTACACGAAATATGGTGAAAACTTATTTTCCTGGTGATGTTTTCACAAATTCAGTTTTCTACTTTTACTGCTGACTTCCCAATGATGAACATCAATTCATAGAGATTTCAAGCATTACTTAGCAAGATTGCAAAGAGCAAGTTTTTCACAAATGTCTCCTTAGCTTCAATTTTTACGTCTTGTGAAACCGATTTACAGTTTATGATTTCATTTTCTTAACAATATCGGTTAATTTCTGTTTGCGGGTTCAGTTTGGCTTACAGCCTTAGAAAAAAGAATATTTTTTACCAAAATTACCAGTTCTAGCAGCTAGACTGTTGTCCATCAAAGATGTCGAAGCCGACCGAGGTGATGTTTTCGACTCCAGTAATTGAGTTAATGTCGGCGAATCTGTGAACAGATTTCAGAATTGAACGATGTAGTATAAAAACGCACCATTTCCTTTGATCTGAAACTCTTCTATTAAGCTCTCATGTTCTTGCAACAGACCACAATTAACAACAGAAAAATTATTTTAATTGTAGATAGGAGACAGGGTAAAATTAGATGATTAGTGAAGCTGAACAAATGTAGATAAAATATAGAGTCAAGTCAACAACAGAATGACACACAATTTGCTTTTACTTTTTTTCTCCTTCTCTTAGTTGCTCTCATGATTGCTTTTGGAGAGACAATTAATATTGAGTAAGTCAATATTTGCTGCCACTTGGCAGTGACAAACTGAAAGAAAGCGTCCCATGGAGACTAGGCCTTAATCTGAGTATTTAGAGATCAGAGTTTGATCTTAACACTGTAAAATATCAAGATTAAACTCTTTGATACACTCTGCAAGCCTGACAGCAAAAATTTAGATCTAATGAGGAGGGAGTTTTTACCATTAGAATAATGAGGAATGGCAGGAGCAGAGTTGAGAAGATTTGATATTGTTGGAGTTGATGAAAGACTGGATCGCTGGAGAGGAGATGGAGATTGAAGCAGACTAGTCAATAGAGGCGAGGTAGGAGTTGATGCTGGTTTTGTTTCTGGTAGAATCTGAAAAGAAAAATAAAAGAAATAAGATATTGAGAGGTCGTGTCGAGTGCAGTTATCATAAAAACATCCTGATTTGTTAGCACCTTTTTTAAGAAAACTGTGAAATTGAGTCAGGGATGCACCCTTTTTAAGAAAACTGTGAAATTGAGTCAGGGATCTTTCATACTGACTACAGGCCACTTAAAAGTCAAGGTGTCTTTGAGCTGATCTTGCAATATCACACCATTCCCCCTTCCAGTAAACAGGACAGCAGACTAGTAATTGCAGGTTCAATTATTAGTTCAAATATTAGTTAGTAGGCTCCTTTGTGTTTGTCAACTGAACAGGACAAAACAAAGGTGAACTGGATTTATGTGATTCGTCGGCTGTCACTTGGGCGATCATTGGCGTCATTACAAGCTCCTTATCAAGCTGGATAATCGACTAGCTAGGGTGCCCTCCTCGATGGCCTACAACCAGTTGATTAATCGGTTGTATAAAGGGCATTTAATGACACTGATGGTTGCCGAACAACAGCAGACCAAACATATACCTCAATTTCGCCTACGTCCTATCTTGTCCACTTAACAAAGAATTCCAATAATCGACCTGCAAAACAAAACATTTATTGTTCATGTAAACTTGAGAACTAAAATATAAAGAATATTCAGCAAACCATATATATATTTTTGCTGAACCATACATGGTTTGCTGATTGCTTATCCATACGTTCAATCACTCATTTCTCATGAGGATGCATGATGAGCTTCCTGTGATAAGACTTGTCACCAGGGAGGTGAAAAATGGATTCCTGGTACACCGTTGTTAGAATTTAAAGTTTCAGACTGAACCGCCAACTTCTGAGGCGAGGAGGCTTGCATTGCTAACAAGGTCATGGGTTTAAGATGATTCAGAGGGAGCCAAATTTATTCAGGGTATAATCAGGAAATTTTATTTTGCCTAAAACTTCTCTGTGCTGGTTTACCACGAACAGATTAGAAAATGAAAGCGGATTCAGTTTCTAAGTCTTGAGATACGCCAAATGAACTGAGTGCTGTAGACTCCAGAAAAGTACAAAGTTTTTCTTTGTACATTTCATTTGTACATTCATTTCAATATTTGTACATGTTTCCTATCTCATTTTGATTTCGGACTTAGCATGTTTTTATACTAGATTAATCTACTTTCAAAAATTGATCATGACATCCAATGATAATTAACTTTCATTAATGAAATCTAAATGATCAAGTTCCAGTATAGGTCACTTTCAGCCTTCTGAAAACAATCGTGGAAACTTTTAATGCATTTCACTCCAAACGTGATTTTTCAGTATGGATCTTAAGGGTGTTTTAACAAGTATCAGTTTTTTAAAATTGTTGCTCTAAGGTGCTTAAATTCCTCTATAGTCCAGATAAGACCTCTGCAAAATTTCAGCTCTGGAATCGAATTTTTTAGGGGTCATAAATCAGATTCAAAAATACTAATGGAAATTCTTATTAGGGGTGTTTGGAAATATTTCAACTCTGCACATAGTAGCAGAATGTACGAGGGACCCAAAAAAACCGGAGTGTTGCTGTAACTTGGCAATGGTGGAAAATGTTCGAGTTCTACCGCTAGGTGTAACTAGGAGCTTAGAAGAGTCACCAGACCAAATTTCACTGTCATAGCACATTTTGTTTCAATTTGGCGAGCCCTCGCGTGAGGGATGTTCACTGGGCTCGTCGTTTTGTAAGATAGGTGATTTTCACACGCATGCGAACTTTGAAAGTTTTAGGCAGAGGATGTATGGTATGAGAAAAGCCGAGCTGTACAGTGGGTCACAGGCGGGAAGTTTTTGGACAAACTGTTCCTAACCCAGTGGGTCAGAGGCAAACAAATTTTGAAAACATGTTCTGACGCAGAGTGGGTTGCTAGTGACAAGTTTTAGAAAAAAACTTTTGTTACACAGTGGGTCATAGAAAGAAAGTTCTCAGAAAGTTTTTAAATTTTGATTGAATTTTAAAATTGTTAAATATCAACTATGCCACACTAATACTAAGGCTAAGTTGATACTTATTCTTCAGAAAATGCACTAATCCCGCAGTGGATGTGCAGGTCCCTTAAAAACGAGCACATCAACTAAAACCTCACAACCACACATAAAACACGTCTCCATGAGGCACAGCCCCCCAATGAATGGCACAGAGCGCCGATTTTATTTAGTCCCTTTTTCTTTTGCGAAAATTCTGCTTCTGGTGTATGTTTCTTCTGAAATTTGGCTGAAATACAGACATCTCAAGAGCATCAGCCAAATACTTACCTCACTTCTTATCAATCAAGCCCGATAAAATGACCAACCAAAATTTCAACTCAAGAAAAAGTGAGTACAAAACCCTTACTTACCTCACTGATTGAGCCGCTTTCATTTTTTTTGTCAGACAAAGTGGATTTAAGTGCTGCTGCCTGGGCAGCCGCAACAGACGGGCTTTTCCACAAAGGCCTCTCATAATCTCTTTTTTTTTGCTCTCTTTCAATCAAAAATCGCTTGCATTCTTCTTCTTTTTGTCTTACTCTATCATCTTCTCTGAAATACAGAATCAAATTATTTTTCATGAGATTAGAAAAACACATTATATTACTACATACAAACAGATTGTAGTTTGATTCACGAGTTGTTTAGACAGAGTGTTGTTGCTCTTGCCAACGTGCGTTATACAGAGAGAAAAAATCTCATTTGAGCAAGATATTCCCCCACAGAGAAATTTTCTTTTGTGGAACACTAGTTGCAATGAGTAAGGAAAGCAACTGCAGACATATTTCCGTTCTAATTGGACCCATCATAAATGCAGTGCAATCTCTTGACTTTTCTGCTTCCAAGCTTGAGGAAGTCGTGCAAAGCAGACTGAGATTTGAAAGAGTGTCTACTAAACCTAGCTGGCAAAAAACAGTACTTTCACAGAACTTTTCCTATGCATTCCTGAAAATTCAGTGCCTCGAAAAAATGTTTTCTAGGGACTGATTATAACATTACTCACAGCTTATTGTTTTTTATAATTATCATTGCCAATTCGAGATTTAAGTAATTCACTCATAAATTACTTGAAGATGGTCGTTTTATGATTATTAAAGTAAAATTTTCTTTCAGTGGTTAGCCAGGGCACTAGTTTATATTTAACTTTCACCTAAGTACTAGATTAATGCATTGTGGGGTTTCTAGGGAGATTTTAATTGAAAAAGTTAACTTACAGATCCATTTCTATGACAAGTTTGTCTAAATCCTCTTCAGTAAGGCTTCCACTTTCAACCGCTTCAATGTCTGATTTTATCTTGTGATATTCTTTTTTTTCCAATTCAATTCTTTTTTTCAGATCTTCTTGATGATCTGATTAAATCAAGTAAAGGAAAAAAAAAACATGATTAATAGAGGAGGATAATAGTCAATCTGAACAAAATTGAACATATTTGGCCCTCGAGACAATGGCCAAGATGCAATATACAGGGTTATCCAAAAGTCACTGACCACCCCTGTAACTTTTTTCCAAATTGAGATAGAAGTTTGAAACTTTGGGAATGTTCCTCGGTCTAAAGTAGCAACTTTTTGGTCCCCCCAAAATTTTGGGGGGCGGCCCCCCTTAAGGGGGGCGGGGGTTAACTTTTTTTTTTCAAATAGCAACCCCCCCCTTTGTGATACCTCATTCGAAAGATAATAAAAAAAGAAAATTTTTGGCGCAAACCGCAGGTCAAAATGTTCATTTTTGACAAAATGGCGGCCGGTCAAAGTTGAAAATGGCGGAAATTTGGCATCTCCGTTGTTTATTGACGGATTGGTGTGAAACTCGGAATTCTAGGGTTTTTTGAGATGAGAAAAACGATTCTGGCATTGGTTTTCCAGAAAAGTCAGTCTTTTGCAAAATGGCGGCGGTCAAAATGGCGGCCTAGAGCGGGAAGTGGATATTTAGGCTGCATATCGTTGGATTTGCATGAAACTTGGTATCCGGGGGTATTTCGGCACGAGAAGAACGAATCTTTCATTGGATATCTGAAATTTTGACAAATTCCAAAATGGCGGCGGAAAAATTGCGGGAAATCAGTTTTACGGCTGTTTACCGATGGATTTGCATGAAATTCGATATCCTGGCGGTTTTTGGCTGGATTAAAAGGAATCTTTCATTAGATTCTTGAAATATCAAATAATTTCATGCTAATCCATCGGTAAACAGCCGTAAAACTGATTTCCCGCAATTTTTCCGCCGCCATTTTGGAATTTGTCAAAATTTCAGATATCCAATGAAAGATTCGTTCTTCTCGTGCCGAAATACCCCCGGATACCAAGTTTCATGCAAATCCAACGATATGCAGCCTAAATATCCACTTCCCGCTCGAGGCCGCCATTTTGACCGCCGCCATTTTGAAAAGGACAGACTTTTCTGGAAAACCAATGCCAGAATCGTTTTTCTCATCTCAAAAAACCCTAGAATTCCGAGTTTCACACCAATCCGTCAATAAACAACGGAGATGCCAAATTTCCGCCATTTTCAACTTTGACCGGCCGCCATTTTGTCAAAAATGAACATTTTGACCTGCGGTTTGCGCCAAAAATTTTCTTTTATTATTATCTTTCGAATGAGGTATCACAAAGGGGAGGTTGCTATTTGAAAAAAAAAAGTTAGCCCCCGCCCCCCTTAAGGGGGGCCGCCCCCCAAAATTTTGGGGGGACCAAAAAGTTGCTACTTTAGACCGAGGAACATTCCCAAAGTTTCAAACTTCTATCTCAATTTGGAAAAAAGTTACAGGGGTGGTCAGTGACTTTTGGATAACCCTGTATTTCTACACTCATACAATGAAAATTCTTCCTTGCAGACTGAATGAGCTAAAATACACGATGTACTTATTTGGATGCACATCTACATATATTTTTGAGAAACATGCTATTTAGAGTAGTAATATCAATGAAAGCTGATCAGGAAAATGGAATCAGGTGGCTCCCTGGCGGACCAGGCGGAGGCCCCTTGGCTGGCTATGAGGCTCTCTGGGGAGCGTGAAATAGCTAGCGTAGTACTTAGCATTTAAAAATATGTCAAGGTGAAAACGCCACGAACAAAATTACTGGGAATTGGTTTGAGGATTTTTTTGGAAATATATTGAAGGTACCTAGAATAGAGCATGGCTACTTGCGTGAGGTAACTGTGGTTCAGTGAAGTGTTACAGGAATTCAAATCTCTGTGTACTTCTGAGGAGAATGCCACCATTTCAGTGCCCAAGATTTCTGTGAGAGAGTGGAAATTTAAACTTTTGAAGGCTTTTATTTCTCTTACAGGTCTGTGTTTATAACAGATTAATGAAATTTGTGTTCATTGAATTTCAACCGAAGATCTCCTTTTGACAATGAAATAAGGAAGTTAATGTGAAGGTCTCAAATGACTCTAAGCATCTACCCTTGTCATGACTCTATGAGATACACTCTTCCATCATGCTCTGCATGACGGGACTAGTCCACTTAGCACTGCGTAATTAGTCCCATAATCCAAGGCTTCCATTCACTAGTCGGGAGATTCTGTTGTTCACTAACACATGAAGGGGAACGCGAGTACCCTTGATGTATTCTAAGTCCTTGAGATAATTCACAATAACTGTAATTCTTCTGCTCTCCACTATTGTTCTCCCAGTGATCAACTGGAGAGAACTTCTTACACATTTGCAAAACATTTCCTTCCATCTAAAGTCAGTACCTTGGGTTAACTTCCGCACCAAATATTCTGCGGCTGTTTCTGATGATTCCACCAGTTTTTCTCCAGCAACTCTTTTTTTTCTTTTTGGCGTTTCAACAGAGTCCAATAAAAGTTTGTATTGATTTGCACATGCTTTGGGTACCATCCAATCAAGCGGCCGACTGCCTTCGGCATTAGGTTTGATTGTCCGACTGACTGCATTCCTAGAAAAAATAAAAAATTTTAATGTAAATCCTGATTCATTATCTTAATCTTACTTTTGATCCTTTGAATGTAAAAGAACAAAATTTAAACTGCATGCACTTAGAAAAAAGAATGAGGAAAGAATGAGTGGGGAAGTTTAGAAAATAATAGACTTGGTTTACTGCTGCCCCCTAACATGCAAAAAAATAGACTAATGAGGTCGAAAGTGAATCCTGGTTCATTTTTACATTCATTCTTGTGGTTCTGGCCCAAAACTAGGGAAGAGTTCTGTAGGAAGCAATTCTGTTGTGAGCAGGTGATCGCAGTGCTACTTCGCGTAGAATCCTTGTAAGCTCAAAGGATCCCCCCGAACCTCGACTCATCCATTGCCTGCTCCAAAAGTGAGGTTAAGCCAATGATTGAAAAATAACACATAAGGCAGCTGAATTCTTGAAAAATAAATATATTTTTGGCGTTTTTTGACCCCTTCGGAAAAAGGAGGGGCTCGCTGCTAGTAACAGGAGGGTGAAAAATTTGATTTGTGGCAGATATTTGATCCAACGAATTTTGGTGAAGTCCAACAGCTGATAATAGCAGTTAGTTGCGAGGATCTTACGCGAGGTCGCAGAGGCAGTAACTGCTCACGGATTTTTACATAGGCTCTTACAGGAGTCCAGGGTCCTATAGAACTGGTACCCGCCAAAACAGAGCAGCAACCATGGTTGGAGGGAGCGCTTGTTAACAGAGCAATTATTAAGAGGCTTTTAGAAATTCGCATGTTCCCAGCAGAATCAATTGGGTGAGAAGAGAAAATTGTATTGAAAAAAATTGTCAGTACATTATTTTGAAGCTTATGGTGAGTATGTACTTTAAGACTAATTTTATTTTTGATCGTATTCTAAAATAGAAGCATGAAAAAGAACATCTCACATTGCTTGATTTGCTACTTTTGGTGGGTAGTAAGACATATAGTATTTCTTTTCAGGATGCCATCTCCACCCATTATAATTTGAAAGTTTGATTGCTCGAGTTCGAAAATTTGACTGTGTCCTTGGACTTGAAATTGAATATGGGTTACCTACTACGTAAATTATGGAGTTTCAAAAACTTTGTTGCAATTTTGGAGTCATTTTTGATGGAAAAATGTGAGGTTTGAAAGTCAATTTGAATTCTTTTCGTTAGCTTTGCAAGGAAAAAATATGATCGCTTATATCTTTCATAGCTTATTTTTATCCATTCTGCCGGAAGTGCATAAGAGCATCTAATACTATAAACTCCGTTCACCAAAAAATCATTGTCCTCTGAGAGAGGAAAAAAACATTGTCCTCTGAGAAATTAAGAAATCATGGTCGCACGAGAGGGGAAATTGCAAAGAGGATACAGAGAGTGCGACAGAATGGGATGCCTTACAGTCGTTTGCAAACGCCCACTTCCATGATAACAGAGCGGAGCGCTCACACATTCGAAGAGTGCAACAGATTCATTATTTTGATTTTTCTCATTGCAAGCAGTCTAACGCTTCCATGCTTTAAAGCACGCAAATGTACACATACATCCTCCTGATTTAATTGAATAATATGTGGTTCCCTAAAGCGCAATTAGGTAAAATATTACTACCGACATTTCTTTAAGTCCTTTTTTCTAAGTCCTTTCTGTTTTATCATTTCTTCTACAGTCCCATTTTCTAAAACCCTTTTCATCCTCAATAAGTTTAGGGTTGGGTGAAAATGTTGCGTTTAGAGAATGTTCGCACCATGAACTATTGTATGAAACGCTGTCTAAACTTGTTATGAATATGCTTTGAAGTTTTTTCTAGTTTAATGTCGCTGTTTTATGGAGGCAGGGTTGGATTAGCGCTGAAGGGCTCCGAATGCTCACGGGTAAAGGGGCCCCCACAATGCGGGTTACATACTTTGCTAATTGAAGGCAGTTCACGTTTCCAAGAAAACAAAAGGTCCAAATTGCCCTCACTTGATTTTATTGGTTCTTCCCAGTTCGGCCCCCTACCCTAAAAAAAAAACTCTTTGAGCCCACCAAAACATCGTTCTTCAGAACCTAATAAAATATTGAGATCAGAGCTCAAGAGATCATGAACATCGTCGTGAGCAGAGCCCACGAAAATACTGATCTCAAAGTTTCATCGAAATTCCAGCCTCAGGTTTCCACAAGGCCAGTACGAGCCCTACATCCCAAACTTCAAGGGCCCCACGACCCCCAATATCTTGACTATCCTCGCTACCTCTTCAATCCTTCAAAATTTTTAAAACTCCAGGGGCCCCCAAAGGATTTGATTCGACCACTCGCAGAAAAAAAAAAAACTTGAAAATAATAATAGAGAAAACCGTTCTATAAGGGGCCAATCTAATCAATCTTGTGCTTGCATCTAGAAACCTTCTCACTACCGCGATAGCAAAGAAAGTAGTAAAGCAAAAATGAAATTTTGAGAAAACAGGCTCAGAAGCATCTGACCGAAAAATTTTGTTGAAAGAAGGCTCCGTTCCTTGTCAAATTGCCACTATTCATCCGAAAGACTCCTAAAATTCGATTAGATGATTAAAAATCGACCGATTTTATTTTAAATATAAAAAAAGGGTATTATTCATTCTAATGGTAGGCTGGTGTTCGGCAAGACAGCCGTACCTAAATGCTATCGTCTGCATGCTTTCATGGTTGCGTTTTGGACACACATTGTGTTTTGGCATGTTTCTTTTCATGTTTTTCAATTGTGATTGGAGAGCTCCAAAACATAGGATTAGGTCTCTCATTACCTGTTCTTCTCTTCATTCCCAATCAATTGCTCATACAATAAGTAACTGTGATTTAATTTTTTTCAAGCCAGCGTAAAAAACACTCTGAGATGAGAAAATGCTCACATAGAAAAAGTTTACCTGGAAATGTTTCTGGCTAAACTTTACTAAAGAAATAGAATAACAACCTTAAATTCTGATACGCGGTATGGTTTAAACACTTTTGATGCGGTCTACATACCACCCGTGATTTTTTTGCGCAAATGTCAACTAGAAATCCTACTGATTGAGGAACGACTAACCGCAAAATCTATAGTTCGGCCGTCCTCGAGAAAATGCGATTTTTTGCTTTTTCGGCGGGTACTTCGGGTTAAGGCGCTGAAAAAGTGCAGTTAGGCTGTATTTGTGGCCTGTAAGTGTATGTCCAATACACTTTTAGTCAATCCAGTGTCAGTAGATAGCTATTCGTGCATACTGCCCCAAAGTCATTTCCTTTACCCAACACTTTCCTGGCGTTAATTGCCTTTTTTTGGCGTTTTTTAGAGGACATTCTAGGCTACATTGCTAAAAAATTGAGAAAAATCGGGTGGAGCCTGAAAAATTACTGAACAGAATTTCATGTACTATAAACGTCAAAGAGCACCAACTCCCCCCCCCTCCTTCCCATTCACAACACCTCCCCATGAATCATCTTTTTCCCGGGTGGTTTCTCGGTAGTACTGACATGTTCAACCTCGGCCAAATCTTCAAAATATTTTCGGAGTTGATAGAGGATCACTTCCCAAGTCCAATACACTGGCGATTTTTGAAATTGGATAATTAGGGAATTATTTCGGAGGGGGGGCCGGGGGGAGGGCATTAAAGTTAAAACTTTTAACTGGCATCTCTCGTGAGGGATTTGTTGTAGGGCAATGATCTTGGTCTCAAACTAGAAAAAATTATCAGCTTTCAGATGATATTAACGAAAACGGTCCATTTTAGAATCTTCATCCATTGTTGCCGCGATGCCACAACTTAAATATCCAATTTTACATTTCTTTCATTTCGAGCAGTGGTCCACAAAGGAATCCCACAAAAAATAAGAGGGCTATTTTTTATGATAGTACACTGTCTAGGCCCTAAAACAACTCCAAGTTCACCCTAAAGAAACAATTTGAAGCGGAGTTATGATTTGTCAAAGTTGTCACGGTGTGCGTGGACCGGGTATATACTGACAATGAGTCCCAAGATCACCCATACCCCCAACCGTCAACAAGGCACGAGGTTTGGCATTTTTGTACTTCTATTAGTCATTTCTTATAGAAGAGTAATTAGAGAATTATTAAAAAATAACTGAGAAATCAAGACCTATGAATGTCACAGGGCAAGTCTCAGATGGCGCTTAAGTACAGTATCAACTTTACAAAATCATAACTTTGCTCCGAATTGATTCTCTTGGACGAACTTGAATTTTTTCAGAGGCTCAGACTGTTTATTTTATGATTGACAAAAGAAAATGTAAAGGCTAACTCAAATACAGCCTAACTTTACTTTTATAGCGCCCTAACCCGAAATACCCGCCAAAAAAGCGAAGTATTACATTTTCTCAAAAACAGCCAAACTACAGATTTTGCGGTTAGTCGTTTCTCAATTATTAGGCCTTCTAGTTGGCATTTCCACAAAACAATCACGGGTGGTACGTTGAGAACATTCAAAGTGTTTAAACCACACTGTGGGTATGTTATGGACCTCTTACCAACTTACATTGTAGTAGGAAGTATGGTCAAAACTAAAGGAAGGATGGAAATTTTAAATACGAACCAATTCTGGTCACCACTCCGTAATACAGCTGAGGCAAGACACAGCTTTTCCCTTGTGGACCACTCATCCACATACCAACGCCTTTGAACTTGTCCTGAAACAATAAACAAAGAGATTTAAATAATGAAAATGTTGAAGAGATCGCATGATTTGCTGTCATAAATTCAATTCAGCATGATAGAATCTTCAGCTCTTGGGGTGTGAGAGGAAAATATTATATGCATATATTGTCTAAGGTTTTCAGGAGTGCTGTTACCTTGATTCCTATCCTTAACGTAGAGGTAGTACCAATTTTTACATATGCTTTTTCTATTAGCAGGAAATCTTTTAAAGCAGCATTATTAAACTTTGATTTTTGAGGTTCATTTGCTTTTGTTTTTTTGAATTTTCATTCTTGAATTATTGTGCAGGATTAGTCGCTCTGCTTTGGTGAGCGGTTACCCTCTAAAAGGAAAGTAAAATATGATGGGGGAAAACGCCCAATGACATTTTTGATTGGTAAATCAAAACCAGTAACAATGAAAAATCTAGTTGATTCCACTGGAACCACTTTTCCCATTAGGTGGGGCTCATCTCCTTAACCCTCCATAGCGCGCCTCTGCGAGTCATATAACCCATGACCTAGCGCGCTGCGGCATTTGGACCGCAAAATATAATTCCACTTTTTCAGCGATACTGATGAGTTTTAATAAGTCAGTGTACATTATTGTATACTGTAATCAATTTTAGCACGGCATTCCTTTTCTCCTTTTCAAGGAGCACAGGAGCTCCTTTTCAAAGCACAGGTAAGTAAATATATTAGAAGATTTTGCAAGTGAGCATTTATTTTTAATTATGAACATTAAAATGGACTTGAGTAATTATTTAAAAAAACGAGTTTATTTGATACAGTCATTTTTTAAAAAAATGTTTCAAATGTGTTCATTTCATGTATATTTTCATATTCTGTTACAATAAATAATGTGTGCATAAGAAATTGTTATGAATAGCGTCAGTCTGCTTGAGCGCCACTTGCACTAGACGTCTCAATTCTAACTTCGCGCTACTCGAGGTCCCACTAATACGTCATCAACATGGCGCCGAAATGGGTGATTGTACCAACCTCCTTTTAATCAACCTTGGAGACTTTCAACCAAAAAAATAATCCACTGATGGTCAGACAGTGTAAGGGAACCTTTAGCTGTGAGAGGGGGGGAGGCCTACAGAATTTGAAGGTGCGTATAGTAAAATAGGACTGTTCAGGATCCTTTAAGGTATGAGCAGAAGTGCCCGATGCCAAACAATTGGTGCTCAGTAACTCAATTTGAATTAAATGATGATTTACATTTTCACATGTGAATGCACGGCATTTCTAAGTACTGAGCGCTCAAAAATCTCGTAAGGCCTGAGGGATGTGGAGTTGCATCAGGTAAACAAAGGGACCTAACAGAATCAGAGAAGTTTGGTTTGACAATGCACTTTTCCTAATGGCAAAGGTAGAAAAAAGGCTTCCTTGAAATGTGATGAGCATCGTAGCCTCCACATCCCTGATACTCTCATTCGGTTCTGTCACAGCAGATAAAGCGAACACAGGTAAAATTATTAGGTTAGGTTATGGACGTGTACATACTTTCTTGTGTTGAAGTCATAGTTATGAAATTAGTTTTCATGCCTTACTATGGCACCCGGAAGTCGTCACAAATGAAGTTGAGGTACATCAAATTCTGTGATCACTCATTATTATTGCTTAGGATTTAGCCCTGAGTGAGTTCGCCCTTACATGTTTGATTTCACTTCATCACTTCACACAGAATATACACAGATTACAAGGCGGATAAAGAATGGTGGTCGCATTTCGATTTTGGCTGCCATCTTGAGGATGTGTGACGTGCAGAGGATACGGGCTTTTACCGCGGGATTTGAAATATACCCGAAGTGTACCCGATGCGATGCCGCGGCGCGAGGCTCATACAACTCCTAAACGGAATTATGAGTTTTCCTTCCTGATGAAACGCTTTCAGATCGTAGTCTGAGTTAAAATTTTTACGGAGAATTTGCAAGGAAGTTACAATCATTCTGATAATTAATATTTCTGGCTGAAATTTGTGTTTAAAGAAATGTACCCGATGGGCTCGTTCCTTCACGCACATGTGCAACTTTCTGACGAAACTGGACCTATCATTTTGGACTTAGTATATTTCGGATTTTTGAGAGCTGTA